GAGAGTGGTGAAGTGGGGAAGAAAGAGTGTGATGTGAAGTGGGGCTGAGAGTGGTGAATGGCGACTGAGAGTGTGGTGAAAGTTGGGGACTGAGAGTGGCGTTGAAGTGGGACTGAGAGTGGGTGAGGTAGGGACTGAGCAGTGCCCGTGTTGTTGGGCAGAGAGTGAAGTAGAGACTGAGAGTGGTGAAGTGGGACTGAGAGTGGTGATGTGGGGATGAGAAGTGTGGGTGATGTGGGACTGAGGGGTGTGGTGAAGTGACCACTGAGAGTGGGTGAGCTGGGGACTGAGAGTGGTGAAGGTGTGACCTGAGAGTGGATATGTGGACTGAGAGTGGTGAAGTGGGACTGAGAGTGGGGTGATGTGGGTCTGAGAGTGGTGAAGGGGGAATGAGAGTGTGGTGAAAGTGGGGACCTGAAGTGCGTTGTTGATGTGGGACTGAGAGTGGCTAGAGGTTGGGACTGAGTGTGGTGAAGGGTGATTGAGAGTGTGGTGAAGTGGGACTGAGAGTGATGAAGTGGGACAGAGTGGTGAAGTGAGATAGGTGTGTGGTGAAGTGGACTCGAGAGCGGTGGGGTGAAGTAGGACCTGAGTGTGGGGAAGTGGGACTGAGAATGTGGTGCAGTGGGAATGAGAGTTGGTGTGAGGTGGGATAAGAGTGTGGTGAAGTGTGGCTGAATAGTGAAGTGGAATGTGAGTTGGTAGAAGTGGGACGAGAAGTGTGGTGAAGTGGGAGTGTAGTGAGGAGTGGTTGAAGTGGGACTGAGAGTGTGGGTGAAAGTGGGGCTGAGTGTGTGGTTGGTGTGAGTGGGGACTGAGAGTGGTTGGATGTCCCCAAAAAAAGGAGAGGAGGCCGGGACTGAGAGTGGGTGAAGTGGGACTGAGAGTGGTGAAGTGGGACTCAGAGTGGTGAAGTGGGACTCAGAGTGGTGAAGTGGGACTCAGAGTGGTGAAGTGGGACTCAGAGTGGTGAAGTGGGACTCAGGAGTGGTTGATGTGGACTCAGACTGGTGAAGTGGGATCTCCAGAGTGGTGGATGTCGGGGTCTCAGAGTGGTGAGTGGTCTCAAGAGTGCGTGAAGTGGGACTAAGGTGTGGTGATGTTTATGGGCAGTTGGAAGGCGAGGATTGGATTGTTAAGGAAAATAACCCACAAGCACTCACTAATGTAACAATTTTTTGTGGCAACGTTTCGCTCTCCAAGAGCTTTGACAAGCCGAAAAAACGACGAAACGTTGCCACAATTTATAATGACACATTTACTTGCATTGTGGGTATTCTAGCAATGTTAAGAAAGGATGTAGAGTTGTCATTTCTCGATAAATAAACTTTGGTTCAGTTAAAAGCCCTGAGAGTTGTCGAGTTATTACTGACTTTCTTGTTTTTCCTTGTGGCTATAGTACACTCGTAAACATTAACAGGTTTCTACGATAATCCTTCTACGCTTCTCTCGGTTAATGTCTGAAAGGTGGAAACGTTCTAATATGGCCAGCTAAATGTGTCGTTTGTTCCCCTTCGTCTTCGGGAAACTTTCGTCTTGATGGCCTCCTGTCTTCCACTCTTCCTTGCTAAACCTTCACCTCAACAGATGGCTGTTGTAGGAATCCTTAGCAGTTATCCCAGGAGGATTTCCACAGCCATTATCGTCAGGTTCGCCAAATCTGAGTAACACGATTTGGTAAACAAATAATGGTTCAAGTTGGGTTTGAAACGCTGGCAAATGTGTTCTAAAAAATAACAGGTCAGTGCATTAAACACAGTCCATGAGAGTTTTAGCGTTCATTGTTATGGGTTGCTTAGCACAACGAGAAATTAATAACCGTCATGTTTGCGTAAGTATAGTAGATTTGCTTAATAACCTTAGGACTGCTATTAACCTTCGGGGTTTCCGTAATAACCGTCAGGTTTGCTAATAACCGTCAGGTTTGCGTAATAACCTGAGGTCTGCGTAATAACCTCAGGTCTGCGTAATAACCGTCGGGTTTGCGTAATAACCTCAGGACTGCGTAATAACCTTCGGGTTTCCGTAATAACCGTCAGGTCTGCGTAATAACCGTCGGGTTTGCGTAATAACCTCAGGACTGCGTAATAACCTTCGGGTTTCCGTAATAACCGTCAGGTCTGCGTAATAACCGTCAGGTCTGCGTAATAACCGTCGGGGACTGCATAAAAAACCGTCGGTTTGCTAATAACCGTCAGGCGCGAAATAACCGTCGGGTCTGCGTAATATTCGTCAGGTTTGCGGCCTACCCGGGAGTCTTATTCTCGTTGTTTGGTAATTTACATGCCCAAAACCCCCGACCAAGGGCCCCCACCAACGTCGGACAACTCCAGCCCTGGTCCTAACTTTATTTCAATATAATCACACTGACTCTGAATATTAAAACAATCATCGATTAATATAATAAAAACTTTATAATAAAAATTCAACGTACATGCCCCCAAAAAATTTAAAGTGATTTTAATGAAAATTACACCCAAATTACACTCAAATTTCCCCAATTACCCTAAAATTACACTCAAAAATTTCACCCTAAATTACACCTTTAAAAACACCCTAAATTTCACTCAAAAATTTCACTCAAATTTCACTCTAAATTTTCAACTTTCTGACAAACCCGGGAAAAAATTTTAAAAATTTTTCAGCTCTAATAAAACCTTTTTACTATCATAAAAAAATATAGTTAACTTTAAGTATTTTTTAATCACTGAAAGGTATTAAAGTAACCATGTGTATAAAAACTAGAGACACATTGCTCGGTAAAATATTTTTTAAACAAACTTTACTTTTTCTCAAAAAAATAATAAAATGCCCCATCACAAAACATTATTATTATCATTTTAAATTTGTAGTAGCAAAAAAAAAAAAAATAAATAAATTTTTAAATTAATGTGCTATGTTTAATGTTTTAAAAATTATCGTTAATAAAAATAATTTTTTTTTTTATATAACAAGTCGGGGCCCCCCCCTGAGGCAGGTTTTCCCCAAAAAAAGAAAACCCCAAAAAGAAAAAACTTCATCTTTCAACCTTTCACCTCACTCACAAAATAATCTTGTTTTTGCAGAGTTTCTCAAACCAACAGTTTGAACCTAACGTTTTAAAATACACACATTCCCTCCAAACTGCCAAAACCTGAACCCCCCCTTTAAAGTCAGGCAATTTTACTTTCCCCTTTTTCCGGACTCAAGTCCCCGGGTTTTTAAAAATAATGGTTTCCCCAAAACCCCCTAAAAAATTATCGCTCCACTCCAACAGCCTCAGGTCCCAAATACCATTTTTCTCCATTTCCTTTTTATCGAACCCTCATAGGGATAAAAATTAACAACTGGCGTCTAAACACTGCAAACTGAATTGTTTTGCAAACCTAATGGGAAACTCCCATCAAATTTCCCCTACATTCTTTTTGTCATCATTTAAGGGTCTTGGGTCATATAATACTCCAACAACTGCTCCCTTGGGAACCCGGTATAGATACTCAAAAATTAGGGACAAAGGAATTAATGTACAATTGCTATGGATCCCATCACCATTGGATTACTCCTTCATGATAAAGTTGATATGTTAGCCAAGAAGAGTATCCAAAGGAGAACGTAGAATATAACTTTGGTATAAATGTGTCTAGCATTAGGAATAATATTAGGAGAGAAGTAAATAATGAAGATGATTGTTATAGGAATGCAGTTAGAAGCCTGAGTAGATCTATAACCCACTATGATAACATGAACATAGATAAGTATGGTTTATGGAGCAACTTGCAATGTGAACAGACTGACTGATGTTGTAGTGGCCAGGCTTAGGCTTGGTTACAAGTACTTCTGGCAGTTTGGGGAGACACACAGATGATGATCAAACTAAATGTAAATTATGTGATCAGGCATATGGTCACTCTCTTGAACACTATGTGCTTAATTGTCCACTTATTGAGGAATACAGAGACAGACAGTATAATAACCTATGTGACATGTCAAGATATCTTATTAATGAAAATAAGATACCAGATATACTAAGCAAATTTCCTAAATTTGCTTGTAACAGATAAGTGAACTATAGATATGTAGATATAAATCCATATGTATTCCTGTTAACCCTTTGGGGCCTAGTTCCTAGGCCTTTTGTGTATCCACATGCTCTCGCGCTACCGTCCACAGGATGGATATGGGGTGCACAATAAACTAGCCACTTCGGTGGCAAAATCTAATCTATCATGTACGCCTACTGGAAGTCCAAGCCCCTCACCCACAAAACCTCCATTACCCCTTCCTTCCAACCTTTTCGAGGACGACCCCTACCCCGCCTTCCTTCCCCTACAGATTTATACACTCTCCATGTTATTCTACTTTGATCCATGCTCTCTAAATGACCAAACCACCTCAACAACCCCTCTTCAGCCCTCTGACTAATACTTTTATTAACTCCACACCTTCTCCTAATTTCCACACTCCGAATTTTCTGCATAATATTTACACCACACATTGCCCTTAGACAGGACATCTCCACTGCCTCCAACCGCCTCATCGCTGCTGCATTTACCACCCAAGCTTCCCACCCATATAAGAGTGTTGGTACTACTATACTTTCATACATTCCCTTCTTTGCCTCCATAGTATAACGTTTTTTGTCTCACATATATCCTCAACGCACCACCGCCTTTTCCCCCACATTTCTATGATTAAACCTCACCTTCATAAAAACCATCCGCTTACACGTCAACTCCCAAATATCTTAAAACCATTCCACTTCTTCCATACTCCTCCTTCCAAATTTGATATCCAATTTTTCTTTATCTAAATCATTTGATACCCTCATCACCTTACTCTTTTCTATGTTCACTTTCAACTTTCTACCTTTACTCACACTCCCAAAATAATTATTATTATTATTTATTTATTTTTCATTATAATAATTATTACATTTTCAATATTATTTTAAATTTATTATTTATTTTTTAATTATTATTATTAATAGTCTAGCATGGTCCTTAAAAACTTGAGTACCTTACCATCCAAGGCCAATTATTTTTGAGAGCCCTTACTCCACCGAGGACGCGCAAGCCTGCAGTAAATGGTCCTATGCGGAGTTCGAAGGCTTTAGGGTCGTCGAGGGCAGACTGAGGGACACCTGGACGACGTTGTGGATCTCCAGTTCGACTGGATACGCTGTTATCCACAAATGTGCTGTTGGAGTCAGGCCGGAGGATCTGGACTGGGCCGATCCTCTCAGTGAATAACTTGAACATCTGGAATATGTTCTGGCCGCACTCTGTAACACCGAGATGCATTAATATGGTGTTTTATGACGGATAACAAAATTATTACTGGTTATTTTTGTAAAAATGAGAAGCTTGGTAAAGTGGGAAATTAAGTGGGTGATGATAACTTACGAAAATTGACGATGGGTTGTGAGATGTCTTCTAAATTGGCCGAACCTGCAAGATGTAACGAAAACTGTCAATCATACTTTCTCGTTATTGCAGTCTTAAATAAAATTATTGCGAAAAATCCTGTCAGTGACCAAAATACCTTATGTTACAATATTTCTTTAATATATATAAATATATATATATATATTAATATATATATATATATATATATATATATATTATTTTATTATTATTATTATCACACCGCCGATTCCCACCAAAGGCAGGGTGGCCCGAAAAAGAAAAACATTCACCATCATTCCCTCCATCACAGTCTTGCCAGAAGGGTGCTTACACTACAGTTTTTAAACTGCAACATTAACACCCCTCCTTCAGAAGTGCAGGCACTGTACTTCCCTCTCCAGGACTCAAGTCCTCAGGCCTGCCGGTTGTCCCTGAATCCCTTCATAAATGTTACTTTGCTCACACTCCAACAGCACGTCAAGTATTAAAAACCATTTGTCTCCATTCTACTCCTATCAAACAGCTCACGCATGCCTGCTGAAGTCCAAGCCCCTCGCACACAAAACCTCCTTTAGCCCCCTCCCTCCAACCCTTCCAAGCCCAACCCTAACCCCGCCTTCCTTCCACAACAGACTGATACACTCTTGAAGTCAATTCTGTTCGCTCCAATTCTCTCTACATGTCCGAACACCTCAACAACCCTTCCTACAGCCCTCTGGACAACAGTTTTGGTATTCCCCGCACCTCCTACCTAACTTCCAAACTACGAATTCTCTGCATTATATTCACACCACACATTGCCCTCAACATGACTCTCACTGCCTCCAGCCTTCTCCTCGCTGCAACATTCATCACCCACCTTCACCCCCATATAAGAGCGTTGGTAAAACTAACTCTCATACATGCCCCTCTTTGCCTCCAAGGACAAAGTTTCTTTGTCTCCACAACTCCCTAAGTGCACCACTCACTCTTTTTCCTCATCAATTCTATGATTCACTCCACTTTCCAAACCCATCCGCTGACACGTCACTCCCAAATATCTGAATACGTTCACCGTCCCCCCTCCATACTCTCTCCCTCCCTATCTGATTATTAAATCTTTCATCACCTAATCCTTTTGTTATCCTCAGAACCTTACTCCTTTCCCTGTATTCACCTTGAATTTTTCTTCTTTTTGCACACCCTACCAAATTCATCACCAATCTCTGGCAACTTCTCTTCAGAATCCCAAAGAGCACAGTGTCATCAGCACAGAGCAGCTTGACAACTCCACTTTGTGTGTGATTCTTTATCTTTTACTCAACGCCTCTTGCCAAGACCCTCGCATTTTACTTCTCTACAACCCCATCTATAATAATATTAAACAAACCACGTGACATCACACCATCCTTGTCTAAGGGCCATACCTTTTACTGGAAAAACTTTTCCCTCTTTCCTACAACTCGAACTTGAGCCACACTATCCCTCGTAAAAACTCTTCACTGCTTATCAGTACCTACTCCTACACCATACACTTGCAACATCCTGCCACATAGCCCCTCCCATCCAACTCATACGCCTTTTCCCAAATCCATAAATGCCACAAAGACCTCTTAGCCTTATCTAAATACTGTTCACTTATATGTTTCACTGTAAACACCTGTTCCACACACCCCCTACCTTTCCTAAAGCCTCCTTGTTCATCTGCTATTCCTATTCTCCTCTTACTCTTAATTCTTTCAATTATAACTCTAAACCTTACACTTTACCAGTACACTCAACAGACTTATCCCCCTATAATTTTTGCACTCTCTTTTAATCCCCTTTGCTTATACAAAGGAACTAATGCATGCTCTCTGCAATCCCTAGGTACCTTACCCATCTTCCATACATTAACAATAATTGCTCCAACCACTTCCAAAACTATATCCCACCTGCTTTAACAGTTCTATCTTTATCCCATCATCCCGGCTGCCTTACCCCCCTTTCAAATTACCTACAGCCTCACGAACTTCACCCACAGCACAACTGGCTCTTCCACACTCCTACAAATGTTTTATTCCTCCTGCCCTATACCAACAAATTCACAGCTTCCCTATCTTCAACAACATTTAACAATTCCTCAAAATATCCTTCCATCTTCCAATACCTCTAACTCTCATTTAATAACTCTCCTCCTCCTTTTTTAACTGACAAAATCCATTTGTTCTCTAGCCTTCTTAAACTTGTTAATCTCACTCCAAAACTGATATATATATAATAGATATATAGATAATATATATATATATATATAATATATATATATATATTTATATATATATATATATATAATAGATATATGCAAACAACCACTCTGAAAGAATAGAGAAATTCCAAGCGCTTCGTGACTACTCACATTTCAAGGAACTTGATAATGTGAGTAGCACGAATCGCCTGGAATTTCCTCTAGTCTTTCAAGTGGTTGTCTTGTATATTTCTGAAATCACCTTTTACAGTGATCTAATTGCACAATATCTATATATAAATATATAAATATAATATATATATATATATATATTATATATATATATATATATATATATATATATATATATATATATATATATTTATATATATATATATATATAATATATATATATATATATATATTTATATATATATATATATATATATATAAATATATAATGTGTGTGTGTGGTGGTGTGTGTGTGTGTGTGTGTGTGTGTGTGTGTGTGTGTGTGTGTGTCTGTCAAAACACCCACTGTGAAAGAATAGAGAAATTCCAAGCGATTTCGTGGACTACTCACATTATCAAGAACAATGAAAGTAAAGCACAAAGGAAGGCATATAAAGGGGCAAATTAAATAGCTTAGCCCATTCCCTAAAAATTTTTACTGGGTGACATATTGAAGAAAATAACTCATGTCTTTCTAGATGTTTTAATTATTTAAGGGTAAAAATTCAATTTAAATTTTAAATTTACAGAAAACCTACAAATAACTGTTCCTATGTCCCTATTTTTCCTTCCCATCAAGCTAAGTTAACCAGTCTCTTTCCTCATCAATGTTTTTTTGAGAGCTTACGTATTTTTGCCAAGGAGGGGAGTTGGAAAATGAATGGTTGTCCCAGGCAATTGGTGGCATTGCTGCTGGACAAATACTGTACGGAAAATGCGGTAACATTCATTGACAACTGGGACCTCTGCTATGGCAGAAATGACATTATGCTAGGGATGGGTTCACTTATCGAGGTGTGGTAGGGTGCACTGGCAACTGCAGTGAGATGTGTTAGGACTTTAAACTAGGAATAGTTTTAGTGGTATAGGTTTTGGCAGAAAACAGTGGAAGTCCCAGTGTAGTAATATTACGAGTTCTAGGGAACTAGTAATAATAAGAACGAGAATAATATTGAAAAGCCAGGGACCTCGGGTGATAAAGGACAGTACTAGGCTTTAGTAGAAAAAATAGAATAGCAGGAAGGTTAAAGAGAAAGGAGAGTCTTTCAATGTTTATTATGCTAATTGCCGTAGTGCTAGGAATAAGAAGGACGAGTTAGATTAGTTTCTATGAGGTAACATTGAAGTATTTGCCTTAACAACTGATACGTGGTTTAATCAAAAGTCGGGGACATGCCTGCGGAACTGTCCATATCAGGGTTTCAAATTGTTCCAAGAAGATAGAAGTATTGGGAAGGGGGTGGGGTGGCATTGTATGTCCGAGATCGCTGAACTGGGCATAAAAACGGTATTAAGTCTGAAGTACACATAAGAGTCTGTTTGGATAGAATTTTCAGAGGGGCATAAAAACGATTTTAGGAGTGATATACCGTCCCCCAAACTTAGATAGGACCAAGGTAAACTACTATGGGAGGAAATTGTTAAGGCCACAAGGCACGATAATGTAGTAATTCTAGGAGACTTTAACTTTAGTCATGTTTGATTGATTTGATTGACTGGGAATTTTAGAATCATACGACTTCTAGAAGTATTTCAGGATTGTTTTTTGAAGCAGTTTTGTGACAGAACCTACAAGGAAATAACCTGCTTAACTTTGTTATGCAAACAAATGAATCCACTTGTTTAATAATTAGAAATTTCAGAGAACTGGGTGCTAGCGACCACAAATCAACTACATGTAGCATGAATGGAAAGATACATAGTCCGATAACCTCAGTAAACAGTCCCAGATTTTCGCTTAGCAATAACGATGGGCTTAGAGAACACTTATCATCTGTGACTGGAGCGTAACAAGAGAAGCTATCAATATACAGTTTCCTGAACACTATACATGCCTGCTTCAAAGAGCGTGTTATATCCCCATATAAGAAATTAGATCAAATAGAAAATGACCCAAAATGATGATAATAGGCTCAAATATCTACTAGGCATAAGAAAGAATTTATAGCGTATCAAAAGAGGTTGAGGGTATCTTATGAATCAGTATATGACATTAAGAGGGACTAAAAAGGGATAAGAAAAGCTAAAAGGGACTATGAATTAAAGTAGCTAGGGATTCTAAAACTAACCCAAAAAGTTTTTTCCAGGTCTATAGAACAAAAGTTAAGATAAGATAGGTCCCCTTAAAAAATAACTTGGGCACCTTAAACCTACAAAGAGAATGAAAATGTGCTTATATTAAATAATTATTTTATCTCAGTTTTTACACAAGAGACACTATCAATATACCAGTAATTAATTTTTACAGTGGGCTAAGAAGAAGATAGAAATTATGTAACATCACAGCACTATGAGATGGTTGTGAAGCAGATAGACGAAGCAAAATAAGTCGCCGGGTCCTGATGAGGTTTTTTCAAGGTTCTTAAGAATGCAAATGGAACTCTGTGACCATACTAATATTTATTAATTTATCCTCAAATAGGTGTAGTTGTCCTGATATGTGGAAGATGGCTAATGTAACTCCTATTTTAAAAGGTAAGAACAGGACAAGTCGTAACCTTCAAATACCGCCCAATAAAGACTGACCTCATTGTAGGCAAATTGCTATCAATTATAGTGAGATTATAAAAGCCATCTAATAAACATAGCTTGATTAATGATCTCA